CCTTCACTATTCATTGTGATAGCATGAGTGCTATCTATTTGGCGAAGAATCAGGTTTTTCATGCGAGGACGAAGCACATTGACGTTCGTTATCACTTCATTTGGGTGAACTACGTTCTGCTTGATTCCTTGGGCAAGAGGATACGTAGGCAGTCTTTAAGATGCAGCCGGTTTGGATTAGTTGATGGGGGTGAGATTGTTTGGACTCTCGTTCGGGTTCTCAATTTGTTATGGGTTGAGTTCGTACTGGACACAACAAGTGGGATATTTGGATGCTTTGGTGTCGGTTCAGTTTTGAGAAAACTTCACCGAGGTGGAGAATTGTGAATTCGGGTGGGGTCTACCACGTGAATGAGACGCGTGAGGATTGTGCAAAGATGGAAGTGAGGCCCACCCGAATTAGTTTGTGCACCTATATAATGTGTCTCTAGGGTTTTGGGAAACGTGTGCCAAGGAGGTTGATCGCTGGTGTTTTTTGCGGCTGGGAAAAAGCAAAGAAGCGGCTGAAAAAAAAAACCGCAGAAGCATGAGGTGTTTTCAGCAGCCGTCAAGAGAGTTCTGAGCATCTTTTGTAGAGAGAGTTTGTGTGAGAGGTTTGAGAGTTTTGTGTGAGGGTTTTATTTGTGGGATTCTTGTGTAAACCATATTTGTATTCTCTCCCTCTAATAGTAGATCTCCCCCCTCCTTGCCCCGTGGACGTAGGCAATTTGCCGAACCACGTTAAAATTGGTTAACTGCTTTTGTGTGATTTGTAATAGCTTTTAGGGTCCCTCGACGCGCAGTCCTAGAGCTGACGAGAGGAAGAGCTAATATCCTACTTTGATAGGATATAGGCTTCAGATTCTTGTTTCCTTTGAGAAACAAGAATTCTTATTGCGACCTGACTCTCTTGTTGTGCTGCCGAAGTGCTGCCGAAATTTCCGCTGCGCGCAACAGGAAAAAGGGTAGCTCCACTACAAGCAAGGGTTCTAAAAAGATGTTTAAAGCAAATATTAGCAGCTCAGCTAAAATGAAAACTGTTATCTTGCTTGAAGGGATGTTACAAATAATAGTTAGGAGGGCACATGCGTTGCACGTGCTTGCTCTGCACTGTTCTAGAACTTGATACATGCGTACATGGAAACATATACAAACCTAGAGGAGAAAAAGTTGTAGAACTTGATACATGCATACAAGGAAACATACACAAACCTTGGTGATATATAGGTAGAAGGAAACATATACACGAATTATTAGGAGTTGTAGATGTCAGAAATTGTGGTTAAATCTGGAATAAAACAGTAAAAGTTGATGTGCTGTAATTTTAAACTTTTTTAGTTCACTGATATGCGTTTATAAAAACGTTGTGCTTAAAGCAATATTTGGCCTACTCCGGTGCAAGGATCCCAAGGCCAAATCGCTTCCATGAACAACAATACAGTACTCTGGTGTGCACCAACCCAGTACTGTCAAGATCTCCTTGATCTATAAGAACTTTCGGTCAAGACAAAGATCTCCTCGATCTCAGAACCTTTCGGTTCAAAACCTTTTGGTTTCAGGGCAAGTTCATGTGGGCACAGTTTCTGCAGCAGCAACAACGTCAAGATCTCATTGATCCGATGTTCGTATTCCAAGTTCTCTAGCAAACTACAAGAGCTGCCTAATGGGCACTATTTATAGGCCTCTAAGACCAGCTCAAGAGTTACCCTCAATTAATGCGACTGTTACAATTCACAATGACAATTATGATTGTAACATCAATGCATTAAATTGCTCTAAATGCCGTTGTAACTGTTGCATGCAGTAACTCCTGAATACGAGGCAATCAATGGACGTGTTAGTACGAAATGTGAGGATCACGTCTCGGCAAATCAAACGAACATCATCTGTAGGACGAATATCATCTGTAGGAAAAACCTCGTCTGTAGGACGAACCTCGTCGAACGGGCGAACCTCGTCAAATAGGCGAACCTCGTTTGACGAGTGAACCTTGTTTGACGAGCGAACCTTGTCGAATGGGCGAACCTCGTCGGCAAACAGGCGAACCTCATTTGACGAGCGAACCTCGGCAAATAGGTGAACCTCATTTGACGAGCGAACCTCGTCAAACAGACGAATCTCGACGAACCTCGTCTGATTTCGAGAACATTAGGGTCACACTCTTGTGCGAACGCGTAGCTCGTCCTCATGCTGCGAAGCAGCCTGCGAGGCAACCTTCGTGACGACCATAGTGGCAGCTAACGTGGCAGCATAGTGGCAACCCCAATGCCTCCGTGCGAAGTGCAAAGTGCGCCTAACAAAACGTCACTATGGTCTTCCTTCAAAAAAACTAAAGAAGAGCAGAAGCCTGCCAAGTCTTTTTGTGTCACATGAGCTTCCTACTGGACCTCAGCAGTGCTTTTTGGGCCAGGCTGTGCTTAATGGTAAGACTTCGATTTCATAGTAACTCGGCTTTTAATTAGAATGATTACTAAAGTTAAGTGACATCCGTAAAAAATAAGTGTAACAGAAATGAACAAGAACGTTAATGTTACAAGATATATATACGACAACAACCACCAAATCCACCAGTTAAAGAAGAAACAATAGAAATTATAGCCGGTTTGTGGAACAGGGAGAATTAGACGCATAACTAACTATATACGAGTAAGATATGCTACTTGCTAAATTAAACGATGAGATAACTCAGAATATTTTTCACATAGTCCATCAATAAATTTGGCATAAGGCTTTATTATTATCATCATACCATGTATTTAATCTAATATACGAGTAGGCAGCAGGATGAATTTGAAAAGGTGTGTGAGAAAGTATTGTGTAGAAAAATTAAGAGTACTTCTCCAACCGTAAGACACTTCTCTTTTAACCTAACTCTTTTAACCCAAAATTAACATGACACTTCTATTTGAATCCAAAATTTACAGGACCAGGCCATGAGAACAGAAGTGTGAGCGCATGTCATTTTTTGTGATTCTAATCATGAATTCTTTTTTAATCGGAAGAACGTCATCGCCAAAACACAGTGCCGAAGCACGCCGCCCGCCCCCCCCGCAAAAAAAAAAAACAAAAAACAAAAAAAAACAAAAAAAAAAAAAAAAAAGCGGGCATGTAAGTCTAGCAAAAGAACTAGGATCAAAGTCTCTCCTTATTAGATGTAGAATACTCTCCAGAAAAGATGGAGGGTCTTGAGCCAAACCATATAATCACCAAATTCCTTAGCTCTCTAGGATTCTAACCAAAATAGTGACTACCACAAAGTTTGGTCTGTAATTACTCCCATGATTTTGGGTTCAAACTTAACTTCTCATAAAATAAAGCATGTGTAAAATATCTATTTAATTTATTTGGACTAATAAAAACTAAAAATTCAAATAAGGACAAATTTCCTTGTTACTTAACATTATGAATATTTCCCTTGTTTTTGCTATCAATAAATAAAATTGTTCTTTTGTGTCCTAAATTTACACATTTTTTAACTTTGATATCTTAAAGTTTTTTCTAATACTTTGACACCCTATAGTTTACAACTATTTTAACTTTAATCCCCCAAAGCTCTTTTGACACTTTGATTTCCCAAAGTTTTACATCTTTTAAACTTTGATACCGCAAGTTTTATTTTTGAAACATTGATACATAAAGTTCAGGGTATCAAAGTTAAAAGATATATAAGCTTTAGGGTGTCAAAGTTAAAAATACGTAAAATTGGGTGTATTGAAGTTTAAAACTGAGTACCCGTTGGTAGGGATGGAAGTGAACCAAATATTTAATAAACAGTTCGGCTAATATTCGTCCAGATATTCGGTCATATTCGATCTGATAGTTCATTTAATACTAAATGAATATTTTTCAGTATTCGGCTTATAAACGAATAGAATTTAACTAAATGTATATTTGATTCGACTGATTATTAACTATTCAATAACTTTTTATATGTTAATCCTATTAATTAAACTTGTTGTAAATATTACCCATCAAAATTTTTATTAAAATTTCAACCCATATTTAAATAGACATGTCGAGGGACCTAGGGTTTCACATATCAGTCTTCTTTGGATCATCAACAAACGGTTCAGATTTATTCCCAACACCTCATAACCCAATATAAATAGCTTTCTGCCATCTCATAAACCCTAGATTAGGCAGCCGAACTCCCCAAGTCTCCATCTCTCATCTCCATTTCTCGACGACTTGTGCTCCTCCCTACTCGCGACGACGCCCTCCTCCCTCTCCGATGACGCACTCGTCCCTCCCCGCGACGACACCCACTTCCCTCAATCTCTGTAGATCTTGGAGATTTTATGTCGTGATTCTTTAATTTTTCTCACTAGAAAGGTAAAAAATCCTTTTGCAATTAATCTGTGTACTTTTTTGAGTCTCTATTTCCATATTCATATTCATTTAGTTTAACAACTTAGTTAATGAATAATTTTATACTAAAATATGAAATATTGTTAATCGAATGTTTGCGAATAGTTACCGAACACGAACACAACTAAATGAAGCGAATTCGAATTCTGAATATTATTCGAGTCGAATTTGAACACGAATACTAATACCGCTAATTGAGTCGAATTCGAATTCGAATAAGGCATTGTTCATTCAGATTCGCTTCGTTTCCACCCCTACCCGTTGGGTATCAAAGAACCAAAACAAAATTTTTTTTTACGACATCAAAGTAATAAAAAAATGTAAACTTTTCCCTTTTTTTAGTTTCAAAGTTAAAACAAGTGTATATCTATTTATTACTGTCTTTTAAGAAAAGTCACATATTTGGTTCTACTCTCTGCGCTCAACAATTTAATGAGTATTGAAACCAAGTAGAAGAATAAAATTGAAAAGATCTAAAAACAATGATATATCACTTCCGACAATGATTTACAAAAAAAAAAACATTTCTTAAAAAAAAAACAATGAAAGCAACGATATTGGTTAAAATTTCAAATTAAGTGTTATCTTAATGTCGTTTAAAAGCACCAAAATTCCCACCGATTAAAAAGACTCGCCACATAAACAGATGCGCCCGTCTAAAATCTACCGAAAGCCCCAAGGAATTAGGTCCTTCGGGTCCTCGTTCCTCCTCTAAACCCTACTCTCAAAATTCCTTCATGTAAAAAAAATCCCCAAATCCCCCTAATCCCAAAAAATCTCACAATGGCGACCAAAAAACCCCAGCGATCCCCCGCAGAGATCGAAGACATAATCCTCCGCAAAATCTTCCTCGTTTCTCTCACAGATCCCCAACCCTCCGACCCCAAAGTCGTCTACTTGGAGCAAACCGCCGCTGAGATCCTCAGCGAGGACAAACCCTTGCTCTTGTCAAAAGACCTAATGGAGCGCATCCTCATCGATCGCCTCTCCGGCGACTTCCCCTCCGCCGATCCCCCCTTTGCGTACCTCGTCGGCTGCTACCAGCGCTCTGTCGACGAGCTCAAGAAGATCTCGGCGATGAAGGACCCGGCGGTCCGGTCGCAGATCGAGGCTGCGGTGAAACAAGCGAGGAAGGTGGTAGCTTCTTACTCGAGAATTCACGTTGGAAACCCTGATGTGTTTGTTGCTGGAGCGGGGAAAGGCGGAGCTGCGCCGAGCTCGGAGCTGTTGGGCTTGATCTTTTCGGAGGTTGCGAGCCCCATGGATGGGGAGAGCAGTTTGGCTTCGGAGCTGAGGTCGCCGCCGGGCTTTGTTGATGAGTTCTTTAGGGAGGGGGATTACGATAGTTTAGAATTGGTGTTGAGGGATTTGTATGAGAAGTTGAGGGGGAGTGTGGATAGGGTTTCTGCATTGGGGAACTTTCAGCAGCCATTGAGGGCTTTGGTGATGTTGGTCAAGTATCCAAACTGTGCGAAGGCGCTGGTGAATCACCTGAGGTGGATTCCGAAGGAGAAGTATCCGTGGGTCGGGGAAGGGAGAGTGATGGAGGTTATGAGCGTTTTGGGGGCTTTTCTGCATGTAAGCGCCCTGCCGGATGTTAGGGAGTTCAGAAGCAAACCGGATGTCGGGTCAGTTGTTTTCGATTACAAAGTTGGAAGCTGTAATTGCTACCGATTATTATCTTTACTTTTATGTACAGTATTACTTTATCCACTTATGTCTGTGATCTCCTCTACACCATCTAGTTATCTTCAATACACTTACCAGTTTTTCGGTATAACCGATAATAATCAGGAGATTCAGGACAAATCATTTAGGCGTGACTGACTAATATTTTCCAGAGTTGAATTTATTTTTCTATGACAAGCTTTTCGGCTAGCTTCCTAGTCTTGCAAATATTGAGGACTCCTATCTCTTATGGATAGTTTGGGTAGATTTTTTTAAGAGCGAAGGAAAGGGATGAGAAATTTAGAATGTTTGCCATCAAAAGGTTGTGTTTGTTTACAATTCTTAATTAGCAATGGGTATTTTTAAATTAGGAACCTTTTTCCCATACACACTTACAATACTAACCATTGTGAAAGGGAAAAAAGTTGAAACATATTATCTTGAAGAGTTACGAATGTAGTCTTTAAGAAAACCAATCACTGAAGAGCTAAAACCAAGGTTTTAAATATCAAATATGAGGGAAATATCAGATTGCGGATATCGAGAAAATATCGGGAACATGTGGTAAATAGCGGAATGTTATAATGAATATTTTAATATATATTGTAATGCACTAAAATGTAATCTCAACATACTTAATGAAATCTAAGCGTACAAAATATAAATAATATATGTTTAGGCTCACTACTCAACCTTGTGAAACAAATAAAAGTACAGATCAATGTTGCAACATTTCTTCTGAATTTTTAGGGCAAAATGTCATTTGATATAATGGGAAAATCATGGTATCTCACCTAAAAATTGCCAAGCGCGGTATAATGTTTTGCGACAAGCCATATAAAAGGATATATCGGTCAACATATCGGCTGATATATTGCCCATATTGGGGATATATCGTCCAAAATAGCCCAAAAGCGTTAAATGATACTTAGAGACCATGTTGGTTGCGGCTAGCCCTGTAAAAGGATATTATCGGGCCATGTCAGGGTATTTAAAACAACGGCTAAAACTCTTATGCCTTGTTCGGTATGTGGGAAATGGATCAAGTGAGAATGGAATGAAGCAAGGAATGGAAGGGAATGAATGTGAGAATAGAATGCTCATTTCTATTCTCACATTTGGGTGCGATTAGAGAATGAAGTGGGAATACAATTCTTTTTATTTTTAGTCAAATGGGGTTGTCTTGGGGAAAATTTTATTAATTACCCATACTAAAAATATGCCCAAAGTAGCCAACTGATCATGCACCCAATCTCTCTTTAGAAAAGAATCTTACTCCCCGGTTTGTTTCATCTTGCCCTTCAACCTCTTTGCTAGCTCTGGATCACTAGTGGTTCGAAGATCCACCACATGAGGGAGGAGAGACGATTTCATCATTTTCTTCATCCCTTGGCCTCGTCGAATGTAGTTCTTCTTCTAAGTCTATTGTGTGCCTTTTCTTAGCTTGTTTCTTCTTCGATTTAGCATCAATCACATCTTTTACCCTCAACTTATCTTTTTCACTAACCTTCAAAGTTCAAACACGGTCTGGTGTCCTCCCTTTGTCATGTAAGATACTTCTTAAATCGATGGATCCTCGCATTCACCTTATGTCCACATAGTTGGCATTGTACAATATTCAAATTGTTTGGGTCCGGACAAAATCTGAATTCCCAATTGATGTCTCTTGAGTTCCTTCTCTCTTTCACGGGGGGTATGGGGAGAGTGGGGGAACTCGTAGACTCCTTCGGAGGAGCACTCGATGTTCTGAATTACAACAGGTAAACAAACAACCAATTCATGGATTACAACCAAATCATGACAAACTAAAGTATTAAAATATGTAAATAACCAAATAGTTTTAACAATAATTTATGGTAAAATGTTATCAATTAACTTAACTCGCTATGCAACAACTAGAAATCAAGTTACTGTTAACTTAAGTAACTTTAAGTTTAACATTAACTTAAGTTTTAAGTTACTGTTAACTTAAACTTAAGTTAGAACTTAGAAGTAACTTAAGTTTTTATTAATTATCCGTACTAAAAATAAAAAGATTTGCATTCCTTCACCATTCTCTAATTGCCCCCAAATATGAGAATGAAAATGAGCATTCTATTCTCACACACATTCCATTCCATTCATTGCTTTATTCCATTCTTATTTGATCCAATTCTCGTATACCAAACGAGGTGTACGAGTTTTAGCTCTTTAGCGATTGGTTTTCTTAAAGGCTACATTAGTACCTCTTCAAGGTAATCTCTTTCAACTTTTTTCCCTTTTGACACGGTTAGTATTTTAAGCGTGTATAGGAAAAAGATTTCTAAGGTGCTAGCTTAGATTCAATCTAAAGATGCACCTTCAGACCTTTGTTATATGCAATCAATTTACTTAATCCACTTTGTTCATTTCGTTTTATATGTTCTGGATGGTATACAAGCAAAAAATTAGGCATGTCGGGCTACAGTTACTCATGCATCAAATGATTGTAAAATTAATGATTTTATGGCAATACAATTAAAAAGACAATGAAAAGGTTGTACTTAGAAGTATTAAAACATCATGATTTTTGTTTTATAGATGTTTTGAGATATTTAGATCATGATGAATTGAGCGGATCATCCATTGGAATATTTCAATCCATGAATTAAGAGATGCATCCTTAGATTGAATCTAAGGTGACACTTTTCCCTCCCTATATATTTTTGCCACCAAAAAATAATTTTGGACTACCGATGACAGTGACACCTTTCGTAATTTTGAGCTGTAAGTATCTCTCTCAGATACTTCGGTTTTAGGATACACAATCTGGCAACTGTTCCACACCTAATTTTGTAAATAAGTCAAACTCTGAAGAATGAAGTAGTGGTATTTAAGGAAATAACCTGAATAAAAACTGATATTTAAGAACAGTTAAAGTCTATCACTAATTATTTCTAGCTATTTCATTTTTCTTGCCCTTTATTCTTCGAAGAAGATAAGATACGTACATTTCTTTTTCTTTTTTTTCCATTCCTTACAAATCCTCATAAATAAATTTTGATTATTTACTTTTCCGAATTCTATCTACACTTTTTCTCTAGTTTGATATAGTTTGATATATCTTGGTAGACACCTATAGCTATGTGCGCTAGGTAAAATCTGTTAATAGTTCGATATATCTTGGTAGGCACCTATAGCTGTGTAGATTGTTGCTTAGACCTTTTCCATTGCGTAGAGATTCATGTTATCGAAGGGGCTGTTTGGTTCAATCATTTTTTTAAGAAATAGAGAGGAATAGGATTGATATCTGTTGGCATGCCCAAAAGTTTTTCCAACCATTTCCTATTCCTATGTTTGGTTCAGATAAAAGGGTTTATAGAAAAAAGTTTCTATGAAGTGGAGGAAGTGGGGATTTTTTATGGAAAGCCACATCCTCTCTATTTAGGAGGAAATGGGTGGATTTTATGGAAAGCCCAAAATTTCGTAATTATTTATTGCCGCATCCCCTTTCTCCCTCTTTTCCTCATAATTTTTCATAATTAAAAATTGCCTCATCATGTTTCTGTAAATGTTCCTTTCCCATTTTTTTACTCATGAACCAAACACAAGATTTCAAATAAAATAGCTTTTGTGTTTCTATAAAATAATTGTTGGAAAGTTATGGAAAAGCTTTTTTAGTACCCTTTTCCTATTCCTTTTCTTTTACCAAATGAACCAAACAGGCCCTAAGTGAAGAAGTAGGTTTATTTCTATGAGAATTTAACACATCTCTTCTGGCACAGTTCTGATAGGGACCGCAAAATCTGTCTTTCTGAGAGAAATCTATAGTGTAAGGGAAAACAAGGTGAGAAACAGGGATAATGTTGAGTCAAGGTTTTTATTATTATTCAAGATTCCATCATATGATGGTTCCATGATCTTTTATTTACAGCCCTGCTCTTCTAGAAAGAAAAGAAAAGGAAAGAAAAATTATGACATTCCCTAAAAGGAACTACCGGTAAAAGGACAGTATAAACTTCTAAAATGTTTGACTAACTAATGGACTGCCAAAAAAACCAATCTAACTCCTAATTGATCTCCAATCAGACCTCCGTGAAATCTTCCATTAGGGGAAACATCCAGAGCCTTCACAAAATAACAAAATTTCCTCTATGTCCAGCCAAAGTTATCACAATCAGATCTCTCCATGTAGGCCAAAGCTGTATCATTCACCCCATAAATATATGAACTAGTCCTCGAATTATCGCCGTCTTTTCCTGAAGATTGTCCTCTGTAAGATACAAATGTTTGATATTGAACATATATGAAGATTACAAATGACCGGACCGCTTCAATTGATATCCATCGTCTCCAATCTTTTTCAAAATCTCACACGGACCAACCTTGGAATTATTCAACTTATTGTAATCCTTTATTAGGATTACCTACACTGTTATTAAAAACAGGATGATGACTATGCTTTGATAGCAGCAACTTCATACCTGGAAAATTTTATGATTAATTCTTTACTGATCATGAATCCCTCTGACTTCGTTCAGTCATCTTTCGCCTTCATATTGTGTCAGTATGTGAAATTAGAGCTGAATTTTGCACCCCCACTAAGATTGCTCGCGTCAACAATCGCAGAAGGACCCCTCATTGTACTGAGATTTTAGAACAGTAATAAGTGAACTCAGCTAGCTTATTCGGACCAAAGCTATGGGAGATACCTCTGTCATTTTCATCCTCAATCAATATCTTGTATCAAGGTCAGATCAGAATAAACCACAAAGAAGGTCTTGATCTAGCACATCAACTGGTCAATCAATGTTCCATATCTGAACCAAGTTCTTCTCATCAGGAGATAATTTTTCATGCATGCAAAGGAACTCGTCAATAAGTCCAGCAACTTCAATGAAATTAAAACAATCAGTAAATACTTTCTACTAACGAATATAAAGTCTTCTCTTGCCTTTGTCATAGAAGGGATATATATGATTTATGTATGCATACTCATGGTTCCCTTACAAAATAAAGTTCTCAAGATACTTTCTCTTGTATGAAAAAAGGCATATGATTTCATTGTTTTGCTTGCCGTGCTCAACGTAATCACCCAGGAAGAAACAACGTTAAGAAACAGTTTGTTTCTGGAGGTAACCCACCATATTCAAATAGAAATAGAAGGTCAGGATGCTGATCATGGGTATTTCCGAAGGGTATATCAGTGCATCTTTGGGATACAAGTCTCTTTTTATATTTTCCTTCCACTGTGGGTTAATAGGGAAGTGTGTATATATATGTTGCACTTAGACATTATAGCTGTGTAGATCATTGTTTGCTTTTTTCCATTGCTCAGGCCTCTGTGTTGATCTAAGTGAGCAATATGGTTATTTCTATTGAAGTTAAATGCATCACTTCACATCTGTTCGTCATTATGTTCCTTTGACAAAATGCTTCAACACAGTTTTCATATCTCCATGATCATTTAAATGATGATTTTCAAACATTACATCCATAAGGCACACAGTATGTTTCCCAGGATCCTAACCATGAAACTTTTATCATTGAGCAAGCAATTTATTTGGTAGTGTAGCCTGATTTGCAAGCAACATGGACAATGTTTTGGTTCTGCATGCGTAAACATTATCATAATGTAGATATGCCCATGTATAATGCTTCAACAGAGATATAATTAGTACACATATGTTAAGATTGATATGGATTTTCATTTTGTCAATATTTATTTTTTATTTTACATCTTAACAGCCAGCAGTGCTTCTCAGAGTCATCAACTCGAAGACCAGCTGATTTATTGTCATCATTCACAACAATCAGAAGCGTGATGAATATTTTATATGACGGCTTAGCAGAAGTTCTCCTCACACTCCTTAAAAGTGTAGATACGCGAGAAAAAGTTATGGATTATCTTGCAACTGCAATTATGAAAAACTCATCGAGGTCTCGCATGCAGGTATTTTGAAACAATGTAATCATGAAGGGATTCTGTAGTTTGTACACAAGATTTAACCTCTGTTCTCTTCTCTAATTCTGTTCCCAGGTTGATCCGATGCAGACTGCAAGTTCCGGCATGTTTGTCAATCTTAGTGCAATAATGCTTCGGTTGTGTGAACCCTTTCTTGATGCAAATGCGTCAAAGCGAGATAAAATTGATCCAAATTATGTATTTTTTAACAACCGCTTAGATTTAAAGTAAGTTTCTTTTTTCAATTTTCTCTATCGTCTCTTAGCTTAATCACATCCATTGATTGATATCTAATCTGTGGTTAAATATGTCCATTAGGGAATTGACTGCTATATGTGCATCATCAGAAGAAGTGACTGCATGGATAGGAAAATAAAAAACGGCAAGACGCATGAACATTGCATGGCAAAACTGTTGAAGGAAGCCATGCACTGCAACCCATTGAAGCCACAACCTCCACGGGAAAGGATAAATATTCGTTTATTTGTGAATGCTTCTTTATGACTGCAAGAGCACTAAATTTGGGACTAATGAAAGCACTTTCAGATTTCAAACATATAGTCCAAGTATGTCATGCAAAATTTCTTTTTTCTTTTTTCTTTGTTTTTCCCGATCTAGTTTGCTTTGCCCTTTGCTACCTGTATTTTCTGGTGATTAATCTTTGTTCAGAGTACCATATATTTCATCATTGTCTATCTAAAAAGGTTGTATGTCCTTTCCAACTTTTGGAAAGAGCTATATGTAGTGACTAGCACAACTTCTTTTTGTGTGCGCGCGCCCCTGTGCGTGTGTGTAAAGTGTTCCCTTCGAGAGAGGTGGGAGGAACCCACCATTTTAGCAAGGGAAAAGCTGGAAATACTTCACTTCTCCTCTAAAGGAAAACTTATTTTTATAAAGATAGTTGCAAATTTTTTTACATCAATGAAGCTTATCATGTTTTGTGATTATTTACAAAGCTATTCAAATTTGAATCAAGATGGCTTTATAAATGAAGATTTTCTTTTTCAAGAAATCATTATTACACCTTTTCAGTTTATTTTTGAGCTAACAAATCCTTTTTCGATAAATAAATCATAGGATTTGTCAAGGCATGAAGATGATCTGTCCACCTACAAAGCCATGAGAGATCAAGGAGCTACTCCACAACTAGAGGAGAATATTAAGCGTTTGGAGAAAATTATTGAAATCTTGTCACAACAGAAACTCTGCTATGAAGCTCAGATACTAAGGGTATGATCTGTTGGAACTGTTGTCCTTTTTAATCATCTGTTAATAGTTCAATTACTTTAATCCATACTCCACTGGTTTCACACCTTATGTATTTCACTTTAAAGAAGAAAAACTAGTCCCCCGTTCTTGATTCCTGGTTGTTGCTACGGGGACATGTGTGCTTCAGTGCTTTACCTTTCTTTACCTACAAGCACCTATAGATGTTTCACTGTTTTATCAACATAGTTTCATGGGCAACAAAGAAGAGTACACAGTTCTTGATGGCATTAATAGTAAAACCCATTCATGGTTATGTAGTTTACTTGCTTGATTAAATCAGTTACAGTATGAATCTTAGTTTTGGATTGAACGATTTTCTAGAGAGCTCCAATGTTGCTTTACAGGTTCATCCACATTCATCCTTTAATACAACAGTTCAATAACTTGATTAAATTATTTACTTTGTCTTAATCTCTTTGCTTTGGTGTTTGCTGTTTGCCATAAATATTTATTTATGGAAGAGCTGTTTTCTGCATGAAATATTAATAATTTCTGGGTATAGCTGTTCTGGGTTGCTTCTGAGGAGCTTTACTTTTTGTATCCGGATTAGATTTTATGTTTATCAAAGTTGTATCTGTTCTCAGAGATTGATACGAAGCAGTACTCTGTCCGAAAGAATTCATCATTAAGTCTGATGATGTGACCAACCCTTCACCCCCTTCCCCAACCCCACATGAAAAGAAACCAAATTGTTAGATATGGATAAACAAGAAGGTTAAGTGATCAAATTCCCCTATACGGTTGAACAAAGACTTTTCAAGCTGATATAAAGGTGAAATGCTTATGTGATGTGGACAATAAGGTGCCCTTTTATAATACCTCTGTAAATTTTTTTTGAGTTACAACCAATATCTGAAGAAGCTTTTTTGAAACTCGCTTCAAAATTTTTTGAGGGCTAAACTCTTCGAAACTCAAGAGTGAAGCTATTTATCCATTGGAGCTTACACCTCATCACTTAAAGCATAATCAAAGCGTGCGCTTCGCGCTTCATAAAGTGCTTTTCTTTTGAAGTGCATGTTGTAGACGGAGTAGAAAGATATAAAAGGATTTTTGACTAACATTAAAATGCCCCTATATATTTTCAATATAACCATGTGATTGTAAATAAAATATATATGTTATGCATGTAGCCTAGTTTATTGTGATTCATTTCCATACTTCACATATTTAATTCTTATTTATAAATCAGGACATGAATGTATATATTTGTAAATTATTACACCAGTATATATTATATGTTCATAATTTTTAAAAATTTAAAATTAAAATACTTTTAACCCATGAAGCTTATGCCTTATGCTTTGAAGCTTACGCCTTGCTTCATCAAAGGGTCTAGCGCTTTGTTTTGCGCTTCCACTCTTCTAAACATTGGTTACAACAGTGCCATTGAATGTGCTTATTGGTTATACCTCGTTGCATTGGGTGTATGAGTAGGAGTTGGTGATTATATTCGTTCTCGTAGGTGTAAGGATTCGGGTGAGGAAAGGAAATTATGCTGTTCTGTGTCCTGTAGAATTGTTCTGCAATGCAGTAAATTTTCTTTTCTGATCACAAATCTGAAGTATTGCTTTTGCATGTCCTTTTCATTTTATAGTTCTTACGGACAGCCATGGAATGTCTTATATTCATTACTTTCTTTGTGATATAGGTATGATGTTGTGCTATGTTTTGATATTTCAAAATGAGAGTTAAATATTTTCTTAGAATAACTATAATTTTAACATTAGTATTATATATCTAATGCATCCATTGTTAAAGGATGGGGCACTACTTCAACGTGCACTATCTTTTTACAGGTTAATGGTTGTATGGTTGGTCAGCCTTGTTGGCGGGTTCAAAATGCCTTTGCCGTCAAACTGCCCCATGGAATTCGCATGCATGCCAGAGCATTTTATTGAAGACAGCATGGATTTGCTTATTTTTACTTCTCGAATACCTAAAGCTTTGGATGGGTTTGTACTGGTGAGCTCCTTCTCTTCTGTTCGACATTTTTCACTGTTTTTCTCATCAAGAGATTAACGATTCTCATTTTCTAATTTGGCCCCAGGATGACTTTTTGAGTTTTATTATCATGTTCATGGCAAGCCCCTCTTATGTCAAAAATCCTTACTTGAGAGCAAAGATGGTTGAAGTGTTGAATTGTTGGATGCCAGAAAGAAGGTAATATCATGTAGCTTGTGCATATGCGTATTTCAGAATATGTATTCAGTAAAATTCGTTTGAGGGCTTTTAACTATTATAATTATCACCTTGCAGTGGTTTATCCTCCATAGCGTCACTTTTCGAAGGACACCAGCTATCTCTTGATTATTTAGTTCGAAATCTTCTTAAACTTTATGTGGACATTGAGTTTACAGGTTCTCATACACAGGTAAATGGTCTTTTGTTTGACTGGTGTATTAATGCTTCAAATATTATTCTTGCTCCAATGCTCCAATATTATAGGAGGAAACTATCTGCTTCTTCTTCTTCTTCTTTTTCCTTTTTTTAATGGAACAAAATGGCTGCTTTAGTTCTGGATTTTTCACTCAGGGTCTTACTAGTCATGCTTTTTGCAGTTCTATGACAAGTTCAATATCCGCCATAATATTGCTGGGCTTTTGGAGTATCTGTGGAATGTTCCTAGCCATCGTAATGCATGGAGACAGGTTGGTCATATGACTTCTTGATGCGTGAATTATGCAATGTATACAGTGTTTCATACTTTCTGCATCAAAGCATCGAGTAATATTGAGGCATTGAGCTCACATCTTCATTCTCCATCTTTGATTTATTATATTTTCTGTTAATGACACAGATTGCAATAAAAGAGGAAAAGGGAGTTTATCTGAATTTTTTGAATTTCCTCATCAATGATAGCATCTTTCTTCTTGATGAGAGCCTAAATATTATTCTTGAGCTTAAAGGAATAGAGGCAGAAATGTCCAATTCTGCTGAGTGGGAACGAAGACCAGCACAAGAGAGGGAGGAAAGATTGCGCCTATTTCATTCACGGGAAAACGTGAGTTCAATATCTTTGTATTGAACATGTTTCAATTCAGTAAACCCTTTTATGTGCAGTCTTATATATTCCACACTTGATATGGTATTTTCTAGTGGATAATAGATGGGTTATCTTACACTTCAGCTATTTGTCATATCCAGATAGTCCGTTTTGACATGAAGCTGGCAAATGAAGATGTCGGGATGCTAGCATTCACATCTGAACAAATTCCTGCTCCTTTCCTTCTTCCGGAGATGGTAATAACTTCGAATCATGCGATTAGTGAGATTAATCCATTAATTATGAGATTACTTATCTCCCCTCACAAGCAATTATTTTGGTATTATTGGTTTAGCATCTTATACATTTTATTGATAGAAAGTAAACCCACATCCAAGGAACCAATTAGAAATACTGCATGAGAAGTTTGAGTCCAGATCTGCTTCATAAACTGAATGGAGTTTGACTGCCACAAAGCAAATTGAATTGCATCAAACTTAGTTGTCATACTGATTGTCCACTTTCACCAACAAAATAAAAACTAGTTGGGAGGCATTAACAGTTTCAGTTGAAACTTGAAGCTTTTTTCCATTTTACTTCCTGAATCATAATAGTCCAACATTTCATTTTGGAAGTTCACAACTGTTACCTGATTACATTTCATGGTCTTTGTTTTTAGTTACAAACAGCTTAAACATTTCTGTATTACTTTTTGGAAATAATAATAAATTCCTTTCATTTCAGGTCGAACGGGTGGCAAGCATGCTAAATTACTTTCTCTTACAACTTGTTGGTCCTCAACGAAAATCTCTTACTGTAAAAGATCCTGAAAAGTACGAGTTTAGACCTAAGCAGCTGCTAAAGCAAGTTAGTATCACTTTCACCTGGTTCAATATATTCTAATTTTTCTTTAACTTTGTTTTATATGTTTAAAATTCTACTTTCTTTTGATTCCTCTGAATGGAGACTGATTCTTTTTATGTTGTTTCTAATGGATTATGGCAAGATTGTCGAGATTTATGTTCATATTGCAAGAGGTGACGGGGATAACATTTTTCCTGCTGCAATCTCAAAGGATGGTCGATCTTATAATGAGCAGGTATTTCTATCAGGAATCTTGTGACATTGTCCAATATTGATGTTCTACCTTCAAAAAAAACATTTTTTTTGTTTGGGGTGGGTGGGGGGGGGGGACTGTTATGGATACATTTCAGCTATTTACTGCTGCAGCTGATATCCTTTGGAAGATCGGTGGAGATGGAATGATTATTCAGGATTTTGTTCAGCTTGGAGTTAAAGCCAAAACTGCAGCTTCTGAAGCAATGGATGCTGAGGCCATTCTTGGGGATATACCTGACGAGTTTTTGGATCCTATCCAGGTAATTGTATTTTTTAAGTGAGACTCAACAAAATGCATTAATCTTTCCTTTGACTATACACTAGTAACTAGGTTGCAGAAGTTATGTAATACATTCTTTCTTAGACACTTCGATTAAGGAAAGCTCAAGCATGATTCAGCATCAAACATGCCACTTGTTGATTGCTTTATCAATTTTTATCTAGCACTTAGTCGGGTTGATCACCTGATTGGTAGGTGTTTTCATTGTCAATATCTTGCAGTCTCAAGTTAGTCGTAGGAGAAATTAAACATTCCCCTTTTGAAATTAGATTTTCTGTAAGCATGCATTAGAATTGAGAATAGGAAGCATTAATATAATTTTATCACGATCCTATAATTTGTTATTAATTCGACGTTAACCTGATTGGTATCTTAACCAAGGATGACGATGGGGCTTATAGCCATGTGAGAGGCTACTATAGAACTTTGAAGATCAGTTGGCAGTTGGATGACGATGGGGCTTATAGCCATGTGAGAGGCTACTATAGAACTTTGAAGATCAGTTGGCAGTTGGTTTGCCTGTCATTAGTTGTATAGTTCAGGCAGCAAAGGACTAGACATTTTGCTACAGGAATTACTTCCTTGATGTAGAAGTGGAGGAGGTAATTAGCAAGGTTTTAAATATCGGATGTCGGGTTCATGTCGGATGGCTGAAATCCATATCGGATAGCGGAAATCGGGGATATATCGGGGGACATTGACTAAATATCGGATTGTCATATCGGGTAGTGCACATATGTATAATATCATGTCCTAAATGTAATCTAAGCATTCATAAATTCAATATAAGCATACTTTATAAATTCTATAGACTAAACATATAAAAAAATAAATAATATATGGATTTGGGTTCATAAATTTTTTCTATCGGGTTCATAATGAACCCTTAAACATGAGAACGAGTCAAACGGGTTTGGGTATTTATCACTAAACCCAAACCCGATAACAAAAAACAGATCTTAAAAAAAGTACCATATCGGTCGATTTTTCAAAGCTAAAAAATAGGCCGATATGCCCGATATGACCCTGATATTTTCGATTTTGCCCTGAAAACCGATATACGAGTTAAAAACGTCCATGTCGTGTCGGTCAAGCCCTCAAACCGATATGTCGGCCGACATGTCGGACATATCGGCCGATATTTAAAACCTTGGTAATTAGAATGCATTCTGAACAGCTTATGTGGAATTTGTCTATGTTGTTCCCACAAGAACAATGGATGCAATAATGACAGACTCTAGGGTTTGAGTTTATTAATACTAGTTTAAGTATACATGCATAATTCACATGACGAAAAAGGAGAACTTATGAAGAATTGTAGTTTATTAAAAGATGTATCTACATCTATCATGACAAATTATACACACATGAAAAAGCTTGAACTGATTGCGTACAACCACATAATCTATCTAGTTGGGATTAAGTCAGACATTTATGTGCATGAATGTGCATTATGGTCGAACCAAAGCTGCTTTGCTCGCAACACACTTGGTCTTGTATGCGCTACTTGGTTGTGCACACCATATTGTGTTGTGCACGCTGCTTACTGATTGAATCACTATTGCACTGTTGCACTTGCTCGGTTGAATTGCCATGCGCCAGTAGCTCACTTCTCAATCAAATTGCCATGCACCAACGCATGCACAGTTGCACTTGCTTAGTCATGTCCCCACACATCATTGCATGCATCGTTCCACTTGTGTGGCCCTCATGCCACATACCTTTACACTTGCTCAGTTACATCACCACGGACCATCATCGCACATTGTTGTACTTGCTAGACCATGTCTTCATCACATGCACTTAGTTGCGCAACACAAACCATCACTCTCACTCTTTTCTGTCACCACGCACCATCACCATTGATCGCCCTCAATCGCTTCGCTACACACCTTGCCATTGACACTCCCTTTCGGTCGTGTAGCACATGCCATGTGCAAGGGAGCTTGATCACATACAGTCAAGTACACTTGATCACACATGTTATGCAAGAGTGCACTCCATCGAACTGATAGAGCGTACTCAGTTGCATATGTCCTGTGGGAGATTGGCCGTGCACCCTTGATTGCATGCATTTTGGAAGACAGTGCTTGGTTCCTGAGAGTAAGCATGCATGGCTGCATGCACCACGTGCGAGTAGCACTAGATCACCTGAACGAGTGAGCTCGATCGCTTGGAAGGTGCTATGATTGCATGCACAACATGAAAGTAGCACCTGGTCCAGTGTTATCTCAGGTGCACTGAAGCGATTGCCTTGGGCAGTGTGTGCTTCAAGGCACTGGAAATGCACCTCTCTTGAGGTGCGTGGCGCATCTCACAAGTGAGATGCACGCCTCGGTGCACCTCATTATTTACAATTCTCCAACTGTTTTTACTGCATCTTCTTATTCCTCCTCTCTTGCCTTCTCTTCTGCCTTTGTTTCCTCATTCTCTTTCTCCTTTTCCCCCATATTATTGTCTACTCCATCTTTTTTCTGACTGTTCCATTTTTTTCTCTTGTTATTATATCTGAAAGATTAGAACATTGATTAAGAAGTCACAAACTATTATTCCAGATATTATGACATCAATTATTAACAATGTTAGTGATTATGAATGTATGATTTCATAGAAAATGTGCTCTTATATTTTTCAATGTGATTAATTACTAAAAATATGCAATTGTAGAGTTAAATTGACATTAACACTCTTTTAACTAGTGCTAAGATTAGGGACTAAGATCCTATTTTGTGATTTGAAAGGTGAGGTTATTATCTCGGCATATTTTTCCTACCAAAAATCGTAAACATGTTGCCTGTTTGATTTGATGTATCTATCAAATAATTTTGTTTGTGCTATGTGCCTCACTTCACTAAGGAGCACACATTGCCTGGCGGCTTGCTGTATAATATGCATAAGGGGACTTTGCACCCTGCATTGCGCCTTGCGCCTTGATAACACTGACCTGATCACCCAACCGAGTGCACTCGATCACGTGCACAAGGCACACACAACCAGTAGCATGTGACTAGACATGCGCCTTTTCAAGCCCACATGTTTGTTGCTGACTCCGACTATTGGCCACCCTGCTACAGGTACACCTCTTAGTGTTGGAGCAATTGATCTCTTTTTTTTCCTTTTTTGGGTTGGGGGGTGCATGGGAAGGGAAGATGGGATTGTGCCGGTGTGGAGGGGAACATTGACAAAGACGAGAAGAATGAAATGAATCTGAACCAGCTTGGAGTATTGAATCTTTGACATAGTGACGATGACATCAGTGTGAAAAGTCGGACGAGAGCTTAAAGAAGAGGAGTAGGACGATGATTAGTTCTTTTTATTTGGGTGTTGACTGGGGTGATAGTACGATTTGCAAGGCTTCCAGAGAATTGAGAGACATGACAATTAAACAAATGCAATTAAGTCTATAAAGATGATTTAGGAACACAAATAGCATATAACCTAACGTGCAAAGGAGGGGAAAAAAAAGAGATGCAGAATGTAACTACCAACTACAAAATTTTAAGTTACAACTTGACAAATGCTTAGCTAGAATTGTAGTAATTATTGTTGAGTTTGAGACCACATTGGAAATTTAGAAGTTACATATGAGCTCACAAAGCCTAAAGAGTATAGAACAATCAGAATCAAACCCCCTTTAATTTGAACTTTGCCAAAGGACCTTCGAGTTGTGATTTTCTAATAGTAGTCTCAGGTTATGCTTTGTGAAGAATGACACCAAAGAACTGATGTATCGAGGACACGGATCAACGCAGCTTTCAATAATATTTGGGAGTCAACACCGGAGTAGCCATGGTCAAGTGGACTGTGGGTAGCACTCAAGATCCTCCTTAGGTGGCGGATGAGTGTCTAAAACCTTCTCAACACTAATGGCATGTGAGGAAGCTCGGTTCAGTCTCCATTTATTTGATGAGAGTGAGGGCAGTGATGTTGGTGAAGAGGACCTCAAGTCACTCAACTAGGTTTGGTGGCGAAATCGGATGCTGGGTGAAGCGCTGGCAGCAAGGTTGATGGGGTCGGCCAAGCTCTAGGTTTATTCAGGTTCAAGTAGAGGAAGACAATGCAGATCAGGAAAGAGGAATAATGGATGTTTTGTGGGGCCAGGTGGGAAAGCTGAAGGGTAAAGAGGGGGGAAATAATTTGGGAATTAGACCGGCTTCATGCACAATTGCTTAACAATGGGATCACTAAAAAATTCTCAAAGCAAACATCATCTTTATTCATCAAATCTCTCTGCCTTAATGCAGCCATACATCTGTATTTATTGAACTAATCAAAAGAACCACTGTCCTTAATAAAATTTTTATCAATAACAACTTCTAACTTAAATAAAATCTGAAGTATATCTAAACTAAGAATGTTGATGTCACATGCCTCCTGACTAGATACATGTCAGAGTAATCAGATCCCGATCACAATTGCTTTTCAGGAAAAATATCACCTAGGATTAGAGTTCCCTAGAGATCTGGCTCTGATACCATGTGATGGAAATTGAACCTCTCTCTGAGACAGAGTCGGGTTTTCATTATAGGAGGCAAATGTACAGCTACGTATATTAAAGTTGGACTAAAACACCCTTGTCTAACTTTCTACTAACCACTATAATGACCATAGCTCCCTCTAAATCCTCCTTTCCTTTCTGTACATATCTACATATCAGCAGCACAAGGACAAAAAGAGGAATGTTTTACCTAAGAAAAAATGTCAACAAATAGGATACTACATCAAAGCCTGAAGCTTCAGAACTGCTCTGCACCTATCTAATATACGCCTTAAGGAAAGTAATAATTATTTATGGACTTAATAATGTACTAAAGATTTCAAGCACTTTAGTTTGATTCACTTCATTATCCTTTTGGTTTTACTGATAGGGGAATTTCATAACCATTCTCTTTTCCTTGTAAATCACATTACTTGCATCTTTTAATTTTGGCAAACCAAAGTTTTGTATGGATAGTCAGTTTATATTTAGTAGGCACTCTTTAAGTAGTTAAAACATGCATTCTGATTAGCATCATCTTGCAGTACACTCTGATGAAGGATCCTGTCATTTTGCCCTCATCAAGGATGTCGGTTGATAGACCAGTAATCCAAAGACATCTGCTCAGTGACAATGTACGTTCTTTCTGGACCTTTTTCTTTTCTTTTCTTTTTTTCCGAAGCCATATATTTTACCTTGCTTGATTGGGTTGGATAACTTTTATTTATTTGTGTACTGCAGACTGATCCTTTTAATAGATCACATCTTACTCCAGACATGCTGATACCTGATGTCGAGCTCAAGGCAAAAATTGAAGAGTTTATCAGGTCCCAAGCTTCAAAGAGGACAAAATCCATGACCAATGCTGTGGAAGCAGGAGATTCTTCCAATGATGTGGTCGCTATGGTTACTGAACCCAGTGAATGAAATTCCTATGCTAAAGCTTCCTCTCATTAAGGTATAGCATGATGGTTCCCTGCATTTTAATGTTTTTGTATCCTTTAAAAAGGTGACCTCCCACCAAGGATGGATGTACTTGTACATATTATTTGCCTTTTGGGTTTCCCTTCTGAGAGTATGGGTGGGTTGGCTGATAGGTCTTCAGTAAAGGTGTCTAATTTGTTTTGTATAAACTTGATCCTAGTTGGGAAAGTTCGATGTGTCCATAGCACATAGCAATCTTATCTTTTAATTGTAAGATTGTCCAAGAGTAAATATGCATTTGACGTTTTTTTCGTTCACAATTGAGGGTCATGGTCAGCAACTATTCCTGCATCAATTCCCTCCCATTCATCATGAGTATGCGTTTATATCATTGATGTGATCAATACGAATGCCCGTCAACAAATGCTTTTATTCTCTAACGGATGACAAACAAAAAGAATTTTTTTCATAGAGCCCATCACTTCTCTGTAAGTATCAATTCTAAGCCATGCATACATCTGCTCAAAATGGATCACAAAGATGAGAAGCTCAACACATGAACGCCAGCGAAAATAAACACAAACTATTAATGACCAAGCAGACGAAAGTCAGCGCTTCTTGAGGACTCCTTCAGCCATCTGCACGTACTTACCAAATCCCCCCTCAGAATGAGCGCTCCCACCAGAATGCATCGAAGAAGGGTGGGAAGAAGCAGTGGTTGAATCAGCAGCAGAATGGGTCGCATTGTACTTGTGGAGGTAAGTCTCGGCTTTCTCCACGTACTTGCCATAGTTCTTCTCCTCTAGCTTCCCATAGTGAGAGGCAGCGCAGAGCAGGTCAGCAGCCGCATCAGCGACCCTTCCCTTGTCGACCTTGTTGCTCTCATGGCGAAGTGTAGATTTCGCTGCTTCGGCCACAACCCTTGCGCTTGAAAGAAGATCGCTAGGGGAGGCTTTATGCGCGTGATGCGCGCTTGGCTTTTGGTTGTGGCTCTGAGAATCCATAGGAAAGTGAGGAGGAGGTTGAAGAGGAGGAGAGAGGTTCTTTTTTTTTTTTAGCTTTTGGTTGAAGTTGGGGAGACGTAGGCAAACAAATGGTGGACAGCTTGTGTATATAATTGGCCGAAGCGTGTGAAGGAACCTGGTGCCTTCGCGAGAGTGGAAATCAGAGGAGGAATGGTGAAAGAAGCTTCCGGCTGACGTGTTGATAATTTGCGTATTTGTGTGGTTTTGAGCGTGTTGATTACAGCCGTTTTGAATGGGTAAAATGCCCGTGTTAGAAAGGACCATGGCTGGTGAGGATTTTGCGAAGGGAGTCCACTCATTTATGGATGATGAGACTTGGCAGTTGGGTGCGGTCCGGGTCCAACTATTCACACTCCCAAACAGTAACTTTGGGGGTGTGTGAGGACTAAATTGCCCTTCTCCCACCGGACAGCCAATCCGGTAGGTAATTAATTTTTTTCTCTTTTTTGTGTCCCACCGGACACTTTTTTTTTGTTGCCCACAGGACACATAGTCTGACGCGCCTGTCGGCCACCGGACACCGTGTCCGGTGGGTTATAAATTTTTTTTATTTTGTTTTATTAACTAATTCCATTTTAATTGTGCATTTTAATTGTAGGATTTGGAACTATATCGTTAATTGATTTTTTATGAAAACTATTAAAGATTTTTATTTGTTAAAAATGTTTGAAGTGTTATTAAAAAAAATTAAATTTTTTTGAGAACATATATAAATGTTGGTTTAATTTTAATATAATTTGAATTTTTAAAATCGTTAATAAAATTTGTTTAAGTGTTTGAAATGTTTGAAGTGTTAGACTATAATGAAGGATAATAATAAAATTTATTAGAAAATCCAACTCCCAAAATTTGTTTAAGGGCATTTTCGACAATCCAACTCCCAAAATTACTGTTTGGGAGTGGATATAGCAAACGTGGTCCAATTATGACCAGAGCCTACTAATAATTACACAAATAATTTACCAAGGGTTACCATCCAGTGAGAAGGTTGACGTCGCGTTAGACGGTTGAGCGTAAAACTCCACTGTTTGGATATCTAGAATTTTATTATCGTAGGAAACGCATTTTCAATGCCAATTCAGTATTTGGTTGAAAAACAATTATGGGAAAAAGCTATCTAATTCTATCATACAAGTAAACATGGGTACAGATGGGTTTCCTAGGGTGTTTAAAACTTTTAATTTTGGGTTAACTACCAAAGGACCTCATGAAAAATTTAGAGAGTCCTCCATCAATTTTTTATTAGACTGAACCCTCCCGAGCTTTCGGAGTTATTGCACATAAAACCACTTGAACTATTTTATTTCACTAAATCCTATCTAAAAAAATTATATTTTAATTTCCATGTCAGCACTACCAACTCTAATAGATCACTGGCAAGTACAAGACAAAAAAGGACATAAAAAATTCCTTCTTAGTACCGAGAAATATCATTTTACTGAAAAATGAAAATAGGTTATTTTTTTGGAACTAAGGATTATTTTTGTTTTTTTTGGCACATACTCACCACATGAGATGTTAGAATCGAATGTGCTAACTAGGAAAGTAAATGAAAAATTTTCTTGTGAAATTTGGTGAAATGAAACAGTTCGTGGGGGTTATGTGCAATAGCTCCCAAACTTCAGGGATGTTTAGTATAATGAAATTTGAGGGTTTACTACAACTTCTCAAAAGTTCATGCGGGTTTTCTGTAAGTTCATTTACTTTTTTCGTAACTTAAATGTAACAAACCAACCAATTGTACATGACCCCTATTATTTTTTATTTCCTTCATTATGAGACATTGCAACTTTTTCCCCCACCAAATTAGGCACATCATTTGCTACAGATTCTTGCTAAAATTGTAAACTCATTTACTTTTTCTAACTAAAATGTAACAAATAAACCAATTGAAATATAAATTTTGTTGTTCTATTTACACTTACAGCTCTATTTCCACACAATCAAATAGTCTTCTCTGTGTGTGGTTGGGTGGGCGTTGGGGGGCAGGGGCAGAGAGTTCTCGCGTATATGGGTAAATTGCAAATAATCTTCCTCTTCTATACTCTCAGCAGCATTTATCACCCCTCGGCTAAAATTCTACTACTCTTGCTATATCCTCCTGTAATCCTACACAGGCAAATAGGAATTTAAAAGTTTTTGACACCATGTCCTCTTTTATTTATTTCTAAGTAGCGTAGATTATGGCGCGTCGATTTAAGCAAGGAAAAGGAGGATTGCCTGTAATTTATCCTTCATAAAATGTCAATTCAAGAGACCTAAGTGTTACTGCGCACATTGAAGAGTACTGTGCACACTGAAGAACACAATCATATTTATTTAGAGAACTACGAAGACTAAGTACACGTCATCCTCGCCTATATAACACTCGTTGTATATAACGATGGGCGAGGCAAAATCGGCTTTTATATCGCTATTGTTGATTATATGCGTCTCACCGTCTCAAGTTAAAACTTTTTACTTCCGGGTTTCATGTATTGGGATCCTCTCCTAAGGAATAGTGTTTCCTAAGATCTCCTAATGCATCTCAACCTTTGATTTTGTGTATGAGCACAAAAAACGAGGAGGTCCTATGCAATGAATGGTTGAGATGCATTAGAAGATCTTAGGAAACACTATACCTTAGGAGAGGATCCCAATCCGGGTTTCATCCACCACCATTTAATTTTAAAAAAATTGACATACTTGGCTAGAAATTTGACACACTAATCAGATATAATCACACAGAGATCGATATAAGTTACGGAGATACAACATCTGACATCAATAAATACTGAAAATCCAGTCACGCACATGCCTATGTTACCACAACACCAGAGCGCATAACATGGTCACGTAAGTACTCGTTAACAGTACGGACGCATAACAGGGATACAAAGAACTAAGCAGCTCAGACTACGTACGCGGTCAATTACTTCATGAAACCTTGAGCCATCTTCGCATAATCACCAATGCCCCCCTCGGATTTTTCGCCCTCGCTCGGCTCCTTCTTGTCACCAGTTGAGCCCTCGGTGGTGCCTGAGCCGTACTTGTGAACGTAGGTCTCAGCCTTTTCCACGTACTGCCCATACCCCTTCTCCTCTAGCTTCCCATACTGATCAGCAGCGTGAACCAAGTCGTCGGCCGCTTCAGCGACCTTCGCCTTATCGACAGCCTCGTGCTTGAGGCTGGCCTGGGCTGCGTCGGCCAACGCCTTGGCGCTTGAGAGGACCTCAGTAGTAGAAGTGCTGCGAGCGTGATGATCCTGGGACTCGGGCTCAGGCCCAGGCCCGGGGCTCGGCTTTTCCTTGGGTTCCTCCTTTGAGGTGGCAGACTCCACAGCTTTTTTGAGGAAATCCATCTCTTGGGGGGGCTTGAGGATGGATTGTTTGATTGGGGGGGTGTCAGGTGTGTTTATAACGTTGTTGACAGGTTTGCTGGGGGAAAATATCTGCGTGAGTTTTGTGTGGATAGAAGGCGGATAAGAGTCGTCGGCAGGAATTGCTTGTGTGGCTCGCGGCCGCTCGAGCCACTTGGAATCGCGCTGATGGTCGGTTGCAAATTTAATTAGCTTTTGCTAGTTGCATTTTCTCTTCTTGAAATTTTTTTTTTATAGTGTTTCTTGAAAAGGACAGGATCACCCTTCCCTTTAGATAACCGTGCCCTGAGCTTTCAAGCTGGCTGCATCCCCAGAGACGAGGCCAAATTTGCGTGGTGATTCATCTGCTTTAATTTGCAAGTTACACGTTAGACCACGAAAATGGGGAAATTTGCATAACAGACGACGAGTTAGTTTGTGTATTGCAAACTTGTCAACTTGACCCCAATACTAAAGTTATGTCCCTCTCTGTTGCCTATATTCATTATGCGGCAGTAACGGGTTGTGAATAGAATATAAGACCCTCGTTCTCTTGAAGGTATTGAACAAGCATACCAAATACTAAGCGTATAGATTTCGGAGATATGCTCGTTTTGAACATTCGAGGATGTAAGTTTAGGGATAATAAGTGGGGATACATTTGAAGCTAATTATCCATAAAACAAGTAATAATCGAAGTATAAATGAAGCATGTCGATGTGATCCGACTGAAAGCAACAAACATTTTTTGATGTCTAATACCAGATAGCAAAGATTGATATTGATTGAAGAGATATCAATGTAGAGCGAAATAACTGAAAATACTGAAACTTCAGCTGTAAGAAGTACTATTTATTCTTAGATTCATTATACTGATTCTCTGTACTATTCCTTAGATTCAAGATACCAATTATCTTGGTTTGTCACTGATCAGGAGAATGTTTTGTTTGCACAAATTCAAGAATCTATCGCACTTATATTTGAAGTCATATTTGAAGTTTAATTAATGCCACTTTAGACAAGAGAGGAGAACAGGAATACAGAAGAAGAATGAAAGACAGTAGTACCAATGAGGCTAGCTTGCATAAGAGTTCTCCTTTTGTTTGGGAATCCTTTTTCTCCGTTTCCACTGGGACTTCATTCTCCTAGAGCAAAGCTTCTTTATCTATTTGAAATGCTAAAGAAAAAGAAATTTTAGATTCAGGCCTTTTTTCAACAAAAATAAAATAATAAAAGAGAAAATAGAGAGAGAAAGATTAGATGCGTGCTGTTTATATTTCTCAATGGATAAAGAAAAAGAATCGTATCCGATGGTTGTAGCTCATACAGATAACAAACTATAAATATTACAACTAGCCTGCAGGTCAATCATGGAGACACCTCGAAGATTGGTTACAACTTTTCCGTTCAAATAACAAAATTTCCAATGCACATATTGCATTTTGTTTCACCGCCCAGTCTTAGTATCAGAGTCCTAAATATTGTTGAGGCAGTCACAGTTTGCTTACGGGGCTGGATGACTTCCTCTTTGCATACTCATGAACTATGCTGATGGTGCTCTCTCTATGACGCAGAAAGAACTCTGCAAGTAGAATCTGGCTTTCTTCAGTTGTAAGATCACCATGGCGACCCTGCATGAAACTCAGAAATATGAAATCACAGAGGTGGATGTAATTTCACAAAGAATGTATCAGGATTCAGAAGTGATATCATATAAGCTATGCTTTATTGTTCACAATATTGGACAAGCAAGAAAAATCCCTACAAAAGAAAAGTTAAAATTAAAAAGAAATTAAGATGGATGAACTGCAAAAGAAGATAAGGTCATTAGATTTGATAAGCCCGAAAAGATGAGGACATTCTTCTTCCAAAAGATATATGTAAACTTGAAAAAGCAACACATCCACCAAGGGGTGGGGTGGCGGGTGGTCCTTTGCAAGTGGAAACAACACTGTAAGGGGGTGTTTGTTTCAAATCCTATAATTTGAGGATATGGATTTCACCATGGGATTTGAAATCCATAGCTTTTTAAACATGGGTTGGGATTTCTAAAACGTTGTTTGTTTCATTAATATTTTGGGATATGTAATCCTATAATTTGTATTTTGTTTGTTTCAAACTCAAATTGTAGCATTACAAATTTTATAATTTGAAATCTAGCCTAAATCATCTCTCAAAGAGGGGATTTCACAAATGCTATAATATATTAGTTTTTTATTATTTGGGTATTCAATATCCCAAAATTTATTTTGAATCAAACAAAGGTTATGGAATCCATAAACTGAAAAAAAAAACTCACTTTTTCATCCTAGAATTTGTAATTCATCCTATATCCTAAAAATAAATTTGAAACAAACACCCCCTAATTCTATTTCCAGAAGGCACTATGATGAAGCATTAGATATGTACCGCACTAAAAATGTACTTTTTAAAGCAATAAATCTACCACATAAAATGAGGTCGCTCACATGCATTTGGGGTCAAGAAAGTATCTGGTATATTAACTGTACCACATCATCCATACATCCGTCCAATTAATAAAAATATCACGTCGTCATCTCTTCTCCTTCCCTCCTCTATTTCCTTCTTTGGAAAATATCACTTCATCATCTCTCCTCCTTCCCTCTCTTTACTTCTATGGTAGCTATCTATTCCCCAATCCAAACCCAATTACCCCATTCCAATTCCGCGACCATCTGGTAATCTGGCGAGACTCTTTTGATTGTTAAAGAACATAAGCAAGCTTTAGAAGGATTAAGAACTTATGTACATGTTAATGTTAATGTTAATCATTCAACTATGATGATTGTTGAGGCGTCAATTATAGGAGGGATTTTTAATCCAACTATGATTAATTCTCCATGAAGTTTTATCAACTTTTGTAAAAGCCAGGAACCAAGATTTGCAAGAGACAATCGAAACTATAAACTAACAAACAAAGTTTAGCAAATAACTCATACATGTGATATCAAAAAACATTTTACAAACATTGACCAGAGAAGCAAGTCATTGTATTACTTAAATCATCAAGTCATGCATTTCTTGTACAGCTATATGAAAAAGATCACAACACTGAGGAATTGACTACAAGATCATAATCCCAATTCTCAAACAACTATGATGCCGCTAAAGAACGAAACCCATTCATGCACTTAATTAACTCATTCAGATAGATCTGACAGGGGCAGTTGGGTTTGTATCTGGGATTTGATGGCTGCCATAGAATAAAAGAGAGGAGGGAAGGAAGAGAGAGGATGATGTGGTGTTTTAATAGATAAATGTCACAAACTAATTGAATGGATGTATAGATGATGTGGTACAGTTAATGCACGGAATACTTTTTCCTCAGTTGTCATATCCAAGTGGAACAACATTGTCGCTTTTCTTACAGGATCAACATTCTGTAGCCTTGTTGCCAAAGAGGAAAATCCAGGCGCACACAATTAAGTGGGAAAAGTGACAAAGGATGCCTAAGAGGTGAAAGATTCTGGTATATTAGGGTATATTCATGATTAAAATTAAAGCCCGACCTTAAAAAGAGTCTAAGTATACAAACTGAAATGGGTCTTACTCAAATGAGTAGTATATGCGGAAATCAAGCTCCATGGTTTCACTAAATGCCCATGATACTCTTATCAAACTGAACCTGATATATATCAAGCCACTTAAACCTAAATGCAGAATGAATTTCTAGTTAAAACTGGAGAACAAATTGTAGAGCAGTGGGTTCCTCGCTAAGTTTATGTCTAGCTTTCAGATAGTTCATTATTTTATTGCAGTATGTCGAAGTAGTAGTAGTTTATGACAACACTACTTAAGCAAACTAATCTGCTTAGATAGAATCTTCAGGTTTCACAAAATCGCCTCTTTAAGTTAGGCTGCAGTCACACTTAGTTAACAGTGAAATTTCAGTTATAACTTCATAAACATCCTAAGCTTCTTAAGATACAGCTTATGCAAGTAGATACACACAGACATCTCACACATAGCTATACTAGTTTGACATGATATACTTATGAGAATTAGAAAAAAAAAATTGTGTATGAAAGATTCGTACCTTGTTAAACCTCAGATGACAGTCAACCCAAAATGAACTACGTATGAATTTTTTGCTAACCCATATCATTTTAGGTTTTTCTCGTCTATTGGGGGTAAAAAATCCAGCGTCATATGACGGTCAACCCAAAATGAAGATAATGAACTAGCCAACCCATGATCATTTTAGGTTTTTCTCATCTAACTCTATGATGGATCCAGCGTCATATGCTTTTTAAACTAAAGCACTCACTTGTATGGTAGGAATCAAATCTTACCAGGCGAGAAACTCTGTCATTCACAGCATGGTGCATTAGAATGCCTGCAGCTACAGAAACATTGAATGAATCCACCATCCCTTTCATAGGAATGCTACAGTGCAGGTCAGACAGTTGCAGAGCCTCATTACTTATACCCCTGCAAGCAGCAGAATAAACTCTTTGAATGGATAGAAATTGTTAGATGAGATACACATGTAATGCACTGGAAAGTTCGAACCGCAATATTAGCCTTAAAGGTATTGTCGAATTTAAGAACAATGTATTGTGGTAATAAGCGCCTTTGGCATTTGCATCTGAACACTTAGAAGGTTTCTGATTCTATCTAATAGTTGTTCTTCAGGATGAAGCTAGCTTGGTATGATTGGGTTTCACCAACAGGGTGCAGGTTTGTACTAACTTTTTGCAGATAAAATTTAAATAACAAGTTTCTGTTAAAGAGGCACCCAAGTATCACTTAGAAAGTACTTGTAGATGAGAGTCTGGTTCTTTAACCTCTCGTTAGGGTTCTCAATCAGATCGGGCCGAATCCTAATCTGCTCAAACCAATCCGAAAAACCTCAATTTTTGAAGGCTTTGAAACCTGGCAAAAAAATCAACTTTTTTTTTGGGTGAAACACATTTGACCTAAACCCAAGAAAATCTGAGATCATACACATGACATGACCTTATCTGTTTAAGAAAAACCACCATAAATAAATAGTCCTTACATGTGTAATCAATAATTAATTTATGTGAATATTGACTTTCCATTAGGTGCAGTTTAGCATTCTACCCTTCATGACACTTTAGTTCAATGAGAATTATTTAAGATACATTAATTAAAGTTAATATATCTTATTGGTAATGGCATTATTAATCATAGTCATAATGCTTTCTGTATGACTTTAAAACTGAAAGTCAACTTTACGTGTAAAAACATAAATAAGATTTTCGACAAAAACATGAACTTCCCCTTGAAGAATGTTACTAACCCACTATTAATGAAACATAACCGGCAATGTTCGTCAACCCCAAACCAGAACTTGCCTGATTTGATGAAAGAATTTTACTCCTAAAAAGCACCCAACATTTCAGGTTCGTACACATAATAGCTGAAAAGTCCATGTTGATACCCCTACCTCAAATTTATTTTCTGGTTTGAAGGGGATTTCTTCTTTGTCAGTAAAATCACTCTTATCATCCATTGTACCAGGAAAAAATCACTCATCTTACTAAGATATCTTGACTCTTCTCATTAACATCTCCAGAAAATAACAGGGGACAATGGCTCATCTCCTTCCTTTAATAAAGTTAGTTCTCTTTGCTATCCATTTGATAATAATAAACAACACCAAAATGGATGTATTTTATAGTTAAGGATAGATTCAGAATCACAACCTAGCCAGAGACAAAGTATCCCGCCACGCGGTGGGAGGGGGGGTGATGGAGGAGGGCAATAAGGCTTTGTTCGACTTACATATTTCCACTCTTCTGTTGAAATCTTTCTTCTGTGAACTGACTCTGCTAGTGGGACCACCCTAGAGATAAAGCTTCATGGAAAAAGCCGTTATCATGTGCCATCCTTTCTAAGTATGGGGTCACGTATCCCTTTTTTTGTGAAGCTGAACAATCATAGCTCCATCAAACTTCAAACTGAAACACTTCCAACAAACAAACGACAACAATAGCACAGTCCAGTCCCCTAAAAGAAGAATCGGAACGCCACGCCCGTATGAAGCTGATAACATTATTAGCCCGCTTTCCGCATGCCAGTCTAAGAACAGAGTGGTCGACGAGAGCTGTCATATAACCAAATTGTCCTGTTGGGTCTGTCGCTCATTTTCTAATTGACTGTCCACACCTTACCCTGTCCACACCTTACCCTGCCCAAAGGAAGGCCCCCCTAAATTAGTTGATATCGTACCCGTTTTGAATGGATTGTGTTAAGCTGCTATTCTAATGTTGCTTGCTATTTGAAGAGTGGATCTGCGCGCAGCTGGATTCGTTGAAAGAGAATAGGGGGATAATAAATAGAGAATGAAAATTGAACCGCTTAACTCTTTGCATTTGCAATAGCAAATACTTTGGTAAAATTAAAAAAAAAGGAGAGATATAAATAAAATACCCCAGCCATTAGGCTAACTTGGTCCCTAACAATGTGGCACACACGGACATGAGTCATTTGGAGACCTACTTTGAGGGGTCAAATATGCTTCATCTGGACTCATAATAGTTGGAAGTGAATATTGTGAAGGATTTATCTCAATTATCAACCTTAAGAGTTATCAGGGAATTGCTACGGATAAGTTAGTTGTTTGGAAATAATTTTATATCTAAACAATGAAAGAAAAGAAAATAAATAAGGGTTTACAACAAAAACAAAAATAAAGGTTTACTCCAGAAGTCAAATTATTTATTTGACGTGAAACAACACAAAACTCTATTGAAGTTAAGAAATGCCACAAGGAATATATATCAAAGTTGTCCATCAATTAAAGGGTTATTTGCAACTTTGATACCCTAAGTTTATAACTTCTAAATTTTGATACCCCAAAGTTTTTTTCACATTTTGATACTCCAAAGTTTGTAACTTCTAGATTTTGATAACCCAAAGTTTTTTTTGACATTTTGATACCCCAAAGTTTTTTTTGACATTTTGATACCCCAAAGTTTTAATGTCATTTAACTCGAGTACATTTCTTTTCACCGGCATTTCCTTTTTTTTGTTTAAAATGTATCACATGCTTAACATGTGATTCATTTGGGAAATGATACCCTCGTGATGAGAAAAAAGTTCCTCTACCTCATTTCTTCTTCCTCATTTCTGTTTAGACCACCTATTCTTACCAAAGCCCTAATCGAAAGAGGGTAACAAAGGGATAGAGGGATCTATTTTCCATTGTAAGGGTATTACTGCCCTTAAATATATCACTTATTAAGCGTGTGGTAGATTTTAAATAGAGTAGTGCAACAGAGGATAGTAAAGTTAAATGACATTTAAATGACAGTGAAATTTTGAGGTATAAAAGTGTTAAACAAAATTTGGGATATCAAATTAAAAAGAGGCATAAACTTTGGGGTATCAAGGTGTCAAAAAGATTTTGGGGTATCAAAGTTAGAAAAAGGTGTAAACTTGAAGGTACAAAAGTGCAAATAACCATCAACTAAATGATAAGAAAACTACATCAATCATTAACCAACGAATCAATTATAGTCACAATTACTAGATTTTCTATTTTAATTTTAACTGAACAAGTGTTGCCAACTTAGGTTCAATTATTAACTAATTAGTGAAGGATAAAGGCCAAAGGTGAAATCAAAATGGGGTTGCAAACCTAGGGTCCATTATAAGCTACTTTTATATATAGAAGGTTAAATATAGAGTTCAATCAGCTAGGCAGCTAAATTGAATTTTTTCTTTCCCAAGTAAACCACATTGCGCTGGAGTCTGGACCCTCCTCGCCTCTCAGGTAATACATCTCACTCCTTTCACTCTCTCTTACTTCTTTCTAAACTACAAAACTATATGTGTTCAAACTCTAAACCCTTCCTCTCCAAATGCTCTTTTTCTCCTTCGATACCTCGAGCATTATATCTTCTTGCTGGCATTAGCTCACATCTACACCGCCTGCCTATGATTACCAACCTTGTCAACACCTCCAACATTTTCAACATCCCTGCTCTTTGCTTTTCTGATGAAAAGATAATGAAGACTTCATCATCTATAAAGTAATAAAGCATGGAGCCACAGATAAGCCAAGATGCTTCACGACTATGACTACAAAATCAATGATAATGATTTTGACATTAGTTCTGATGATTTCATGAGCCTAAGGCAGAGGAAGCAGTTGTGGTTGATGGTGGAAGGTAAAGTCGACGACAATAGACGTGAAGATAAGGAACAATGAAGAGATTAGTTCATTGGGATGAATGGTTCTGGATAGCTAGATCATGTTTATCCAAATTAAACCAATCTTCTTTGATACAAAGTTTTTGTTTTCCTTCTATTTTTAAGCTACTTGGCTTTGTTTGTGTTAAAAAACTATGAACCAACCAACTTTAGCACCATTTCTGACATATAAAAAGCTTGGACGTTTAAAAATAATTGAGTCCGTTTATTTCTGTTTTCTTTTTTTTCCTCCCTCTTTTGAGCCCACCTATAATTCAAATCAGCATATTGTCTGGTGAATGCTATTACTTCTTGCAAATTATACATCTTAGTTCTTCATTAAGGCTCCTTCCATGTCTGGAGACTTTGCAGACATGGTTGTTGGTTGCACCAGAAAACATTGTGTGATTATGGTTGTCATATGAAACTAAGATTGACAGATGATCATGAAAACTGTGTCAATCTTTTCCCCCAAGTATCCAAAACTGAAATGTGTCATGACAGCTGATGCATTGTGATGAAAAGGATTAAGAAAATGATAGTGATGGCATTGTTTTCTAAAGAATCCCACTTCATGACATATGCATATTGCATTCCATGAAACACAAAAATAAAGACATTAGAAAACTATTACCAGAGTAACTTAGCTGGAACCATCATATGAAAACTATAATAGGAAAGAAATTGGATGATACTTCAACACTTACATAAGTTCATTTCCAACAACTATAGCAGTTGGACAGGACCAATCCAAGTCATAGACAGAAACCTACAATTACACCACATATTTTTGTTAATTTGAGTGTGTGCCCTGAAAATAACAAGCTTTGATTAAATTTATATAGATACCGTATCTATTCCAAGATAAGTTGTTGCAATGCGGTAACCGCGCATCCTCAAAGCCTCAAAGCATTCTCGAGGTGAATTCCACAGCTCAATATCTAGCCATTTCTCAGCGCCCATGCTAACATGTCGATTATCTCTATACCTGTCACAAGCTTTCAAGATCTTAGTCAACACTCAAGTTGTGTCAGCTGCGTAATCAGGAAAATAAATAATTTTATGACAATTTGAAGGTTGGCCTTCATTAAATGAGCTTAAACAGCATAACCAATAAATAAGATCATCCATAGTTTTCAGAAGCCCATAAACTCTTGTATAAGCCCCTAACAATCTCCAAGGAAGCTTCCATATGCATAGTAGGAAAATGCATCCCGTTTACTATAGTATATCATCAATGTCTACTAAAGAGAAGCAGTAATCTTGCAGATTAGGTGTAATTCTTTCACCTCAAATTTAGCAGCACCTTTTCTTGCCACCGCACGAGATCACGTGAACAGACTGAATCCCCAACGCATCGGCCGACCGAAACGCCGCCGAAACGTTGCCGAAATCAGTCAACCCCTCAACCACCAAACACACGGAATAGCTCCGGTTCTCCACGGCTCTCCGGATCCTCTCCTTTCTCGCATCCATTATGTAAGGATCCATAGCTTCGATCACTTCACCGCAACCCAGCTCAACTGTTCCCGCCCTGTAAACATCCAGATAAGGAAACCAGCGGCCGTTGCTCAGCCCGCTATCGGGTTCGGATCTCCGCTCCATTTTCATCAGGCGGTCGATTTGGTCGCCTTTGGTGAGTAGTTCTTCGACCGTGTCTTCGGATCGAGTGGTGGCGGGTTCGGAGGCCGAGGAGGAGGCGGCGGCGGCGCGGAAAGGGGGGAACCCTAACCCTAGGCGAGAGGAGCGGGGGCGAGGAGAGGAGAGGCTGTGTCCTTGATGGGGGGGTTTGCATCTGGATTTATTCCGGTTGAAGGAGGAGAGTGAGATGCGAGTTAGGGTTTTGCAGGTCGCAGCCATTTTTTTTTTTTTTTAATTTACCCCCCCCACCGTTCTATTTTTAACAAATGGAGGGAAGGAGATATTTGGATAGGGTTTTAGAGGCGGAAGAATTGGGGAGCGGTTTCGGAAACTTTTTACACATATCTCCTTGAGCTCTTTCATAATTTCCTCCGGTTTTGGTACTAGTCCCTCGCATCTTGTATATTTTCAAAATTAGCCCCTCAGGTCATTGGACTGCCATATTAGGTCCCTCTAATAATCAGATTTCCAAATTCTCATTTTTGCATAATAGTGGGGTATTAAATTGCAAATTTGAAAAACTCCTGGGTATATGAGTGCCACCGAGAACAAGTGAGTGCATATAAGTGCAAAGTGAGGAAAGTTATAAGAGTAAGGGTAGCAAGCTGCCACCGCCCGCTCTCAAGGCCTACGTGGCGGTGGGAGCTCGTGCAAACCCTCCTTGTACCCTCCAGCAAGCTCCCAAGGAGCTGCTTTGGGTTGGCGTGGCACGGAGCTTGGGAGCTTGTGCCACAGAGCTCACAAGCGTTCCACAAATTTGTGGAGCGGCTTTGGGAGCTCCCAAACTATTTAAAAAAATGCTTTTTACAAAACAAACCACTACATTTGAACCTATAACCCAATTTGAAATGTGTGTTAAAAATTAGCCGTTGTACAGTAAAAAATTAGCTGTTGAACAGTAAAAAATTCTATAAATTCTCAATTCACTACACAAATTATTACACACAACTCTCTCAAAAAAACTCTATATTTTCCTATCAAATTACAAATCTCATGGATCACTCCCAAAACTTTTATTCGCAACTCCTTAACGGTGAATGATCGACCTTATACCCGCCGTTCTATACAGACGTCATAGAAGAAGGTCACACCATCGAGTTCTCGCAATCGGCAACACAACAAGTGTCATCCCAAGAAACACTAACCATAAAGAAGAAGAAGGCTTACACGCGGTCCAAAAATTGGACTGTCCACGAGGATAAAGCTTCTTTGTGTCTGCTTGGCTGAACACGAGCCAATACGTCATCCAAGGTACGGGGCAACACAAAGATAAGTTTTGGCACAGAGCTAACGATTACTTTATCCAATACTCCACTGATCCAACGAGCCGCACACCAAACCAAAATAATGCATCGTTGGTCAACGATTCAACTATCCGTAAACAAGTTCTGCGGGTGCGTTGCTCAGATTGAAGGAAGACAAAGATCTGGTACGGGAATTATTGACCAGGTAAATATTTAACTTTATATTTTTATGTAAACGCCGTAGCATTGAAGAGAGGAATATATATGTTTAATTATTCTAAATTTAACTATTGTGTAGACTGCAGAAGTAAAAGAATTATACCAATCACTTTATGGTAAGTCATTCATGTTTGACCATTGCTGGGTTGAGTTGCGTCATCATCAAAAGTGGATCTAACAAATAGAAACTTACAATAAGATTCGATTACAACCGAGAAGAACCACAAACTCTGATTCCTCACCAAACAGTTCCATGCCAGTGACCTCATCGAGTTGCACACTGACTCGGATGATGTTATAGCAAGGCCTGAAGGGAGGAAAGCGACAAAGCTTAAGAGGAAACAAAATGTGGAAAACTCTGAGTCCGCTAAGTCCATCATGGGAGAGGCTTTCGCGTGGATGAAGCAAACCACCAATCAAAAAATGGATCTAAAACAGAAGAAACAAGATGATGATATCATGAAGATGGATCTCTCAACACTCAATTCAGTTCAACGATAATACTTTGAAATGCGTCAGACAGAGATATTGGAGAGGTGGATGTCTAAGGGTTCTTCCTAATTATTATATATTATATTGTATTAGATTTATGATTGTACTCGCATCGCATCCTCATTAGTTCTTCCTAATTATCAAATATTATCTTGTATTAGATTTATGAGTCTACTTGAAGTTGAAAATTTTGGCATTGAATGAAAACAACTACTTTATTGAAAATAAAATTGGCGTAATACAACAACTCGAACTTCTTTGCTGAAATTATATTAGACATAAAGAAACTTAATCCTCGGCGATGGATCCCTTGAGCTGCCACAGATGCTCTATCAAATTATTCTTTAGTGATTTGTGTGTTTGCGTATTCCTGATCCGATGATGATTTTAGATGAACTCAATTAGAGGCATCGTCCGCACATGAGAAGGTTCAACGACTGGTATCGAATTAGTAAAATCGAAGTTGTTGTCCAATTGACAATCTCGTTCATCTTCAACGATCATGTTATGCATTATGATGCAATCTGTTATGATGTCTTTCAACACACTAGGTTGCCAGAAACGTCCTGGTCCACGAACAATCACAAATCGAGCTTGCAACACGCCAAAAGCTCGCTCCTGGTCCACGAACAATCACAAATCGAGCTTGCAACACGCCAAAAGCTCGCTCAACATCTTTTCTTGCGCTCTCTTGTTGTTGAGCAATCGCTCAACATCTTTTCTTGCGCTCTCTTGTTGTTGAGCAAAGTACTTATGCTTGTTTCCTCGAGGTGCTGGTATAGTCGTTACTAATGTGGACCACTCTGGGTAAATCTCGTCGGCGAGATAGTATCCCATATTATACTCGTGGCCATTGACAGTATAGTTGCATGGTGAAGCTCTTCCCTCTGCAAGTTGTGTGAAAACCGGTGAACGATGTAGAACATTGAGGTCATTGTGAGACTCCGACAGTCCAAAGAAGGCATGTCATATCTAAAGATCTTTGCTAGATACGGTCTTCAAAATAATTGTAGGTTCATGAAAATGCCCAGTATACATACCTTGCTAAGCGGTTGGACAGTTCTTCCATGTCCAGTGCATGCAGTCGATGCTCCCAAGCATACCAGGAAAACCTCATTGTGAACATTCCTCGAGCAGGCGTGCAACGTCTTCATTAGTCGGTGAATGAAGGTATTCCTCCCCAAAAATGTTGATAATCGATCGAACGAACCTCTTCACGCTCTCAAGCGACGTACTTTTACCGATCCGAACATAGTCATCAACGGAGTCAGCGGATGCTCCATATGCGAGCATCCGCATAGCTGCAGTAATCTTTTGAAGGCTAGATAGTCCCAACTATCCAGCATCATTCCTCTTTTGGACGAAGTACTTGTCATGTTCGATGACTGCGTCGTGGATTCGAAGGAATAACGAACGCGTCATTCTGAATCTTCGACGAAAAAAATGAAGAGAATAGGTTGGTGCATCAGCAAAATAATCTTGGAACAACCGATTATGGCCTTCCAGTCGGTTTTGATGGAGCACAATACGTCTTTTTGTGTTGAACTGAAGTTGAACCTTTCTCTTGTTCTTCTTCCTCGATGACAACAGCTCCCATAAGAAAGAACGTATTCATCATTTCATCATCGCTAGAGCTAGATGAGCTAGTCATTTTGTTTTGGGAGATGATGGGTTGAGGTGAGAGTGCGTCGAATTTTATAGGAATCAGTCAGTTGACGGTCAAAGTTTGTGATACCTCGAACTTCGTGCCTAACCTCAAAGACCGTGGGTTACTTCGAAGACTGCGGGTTACCTCGAAGACCGTGTGTGCTCCCTCGAAGGCTGTATCCAATGGTTAGAAATGAAATAAAAAAGGTTTAAATATAATTAAAAGTAATGGGTAAAAAAATTTAAAATAGAAGAGGGGTTCTTTTTTGATATTGTTGGAGCTCCTACCTAGGAGCTTGTTGGAGCTCCATAAAATAAGGAGGGCCTCCCAAGTCTTATTTTTTAATTTTTTATTCTAAAATGCTTGAATTATCTTGAGAGCTTGCTGACTAGGACTCCCAAGTAGGAGCTTGCTGGACTTGCTCTAAGGCAGCTATGTTAGGGAATCCGAAACAATCAAATCGGATCTTTGCTCTTCCAGACCTTACAAAAAAATCAAATAGAAAAGTAGGAAATTCATCACAAAAAAATCAAAACTTGTAAAGAAGATAAAAGAGACGAACACACAGATTTAACGAGGTTTGACAATGTGCCTATGTCCTCGGCCACACCACACAATTTCTTTGGCTCCGTTTGGATACCATTGTGTTTTACTTGTTTCCATAGTGTTTTTGCCAAAAATAAAACACCACGCGTTTGAAAACCATGGTGTTTTTTGAGCTAAATCATCCTCAAACAAAAAACAAAACACTTATTTCAAAACACCTTTTAGGTGTTTTAAGTTTGGTGTTTCGGGTTTGAGTTTGAGAATGTGTTAATATAATATCTAACATAATATATTAAATATAATTATTATAGAGTTATTATCAACATTCTTATTATATTATACTATACTATACTATATTATAGTTAATTTAATATATTAGTAATATTTGTTAAATAATATAAAAAGATAATAAATAAAATATCTTATATAATAATATAGTAACATATTAAATACCAATATTTAATATGTTAATAATGTATTATATAATAATAAAACAATAATAAAATATAAATAAACTAATTAAAATAATAAAAAATTTATTGATTCTAACAAATGTTAATGTAAGAATAATATATTCATATATAATAATATTTATTTATATCATAAATAGTAATATATTATTAAAGTACTATTAATAAACTCTAACATAAAAACTATAATATATTATATAATATTAAAATATTTATAATATATTAACTTATTAATAACATACTAGTAATAACATGATAATAACATTATTAATAATATTATATTATATGAATAATAGTATAATATTATATTATATTAATAATAGTATAATATTATATTAATAATAAAATAACATTATTATAAAAATATTAATATAATATACAACAATAACAAATTGATATACCAAAATAATTAAATATATAATTATTTAAAAATAATATGTAATAATTATAATATAATAATAATTGTAATTTAATATATCATATTAAAGTACAATATAATATTATAATACATTATACAATATTATATTGCATTACATTTAATACTTATAATACTATAATAATGTAAACTAAATATTATAACATTTTATTAATAATATATTTTATTATAATTAATATATAATATATTAATAATATGTTTAAAACTAAT